TTRKAAKRRKAWMMRCRMKAKKYGKKRAGGCGAAAAGGCTCTCCTCGATAGCGCTATTCGTTGTTGCTGAGTCGATGTCCAGATTTCTTTAAGACGCTCATTTACTACCGGACCCGTCCTCAGAGAAGGAACTGGTCGCTTTCTTGGTGAAGTACGCCAGCTAAACTTCGTAGAAGAGATTTCATTACGTCTTTTTAATGACATTTTCTCACCAAATCCTTTATGGATTTCGCACAGTTCGAAATGGAGTGAACATACTTTCGCATTGTTGTTCCAGTTAAAATTTTTGCCAGAATCTCTTCTGATTTTAGCATGCCAGACCTTTTTAAGGGACGCTTCTTTTGGGAAGCTAAAGAAACCAACTTTTTCTCCGTTGGGCCCAGTAGTTCCATTTTAATTACAATGATTGAGGAACACAACAGTGTATGTTTGACCGCAAAGCCATATCTGTAGGGCCCGCCGTGTCCTAAATTGCCTCGTTTCAGTGCTTGCCCAATTCTTCGGCTGAGCGGCAGCCATTTTATTGAAATCGGTGTATAACTTTCATAAAAAATCTTTAGTAGATGTAGATTTTATTGACGAACAATGTAAACTTTGGGTTGTATGCTGTTCGTAACATTGCACTATTAATAAAGAAGACTTACTAGTACACACAATTCTTTAAGTTTACAAACGAAACCAACACGTGCTCAAGTTGTTTGAAAGGTTCGACCAACATCATAGTGTAACTATTAAAGGCAAAATCGGGCAATTGACGTAGGAATCCGTCACCATAAATTAATTATCTATAGAATTGAACACAAACAAAAAGACAACCCTTACTATCTGTAATGTAATTGTATTATGGCCACGTACTTTTTCATCAAAACACAATAGTTAAAGCACAAAAACCATGTGAAAACCACCAAATTCCACGATTGCCATGGACTGAGACAAGAAATTACAATTACAGATGTGTATTTCTGGTGTTGTTACCTTCCGTTGAGAAATTTTCTAATCTAAGTATCAGTTCAAATGACAGGCATGGCACTGAGACGAAATGTTACGACGAATCAGTGAGGTTTGCCCCATTATTTCTCTCTATCGGTGGAAAAGAAGGAATTTATCTAGAAGGTATAATAGTAACATGACCGCTGTAGGCACAAAGGCTCTAGGCATAAAATCCTCGTTCATTTGCATACGTGTTGCGATTTACAAATTTTCACCTATTAAACAAGAAAGGCAAAACAAAAAGTACAAATACTTCGGATAAAAATTTTCTTTTACAAGCTTAGCTTTATTCTACTTAAAGTCAATTCCAGGCCCTTCGGGTCACTCGTAGACCTGGAAATCAAAGGCGTCGAGAGTCTTGCAACCAATCCACTTCATACTGATGGCTCTTTGTGCCAGGCAAAAGTATTTGGTGGAATTACAAGACATCAGCTGGCTCCTTCTGTAGTATCAACTTTATTCTTGACGTGTCTAACGCTAATTGTTTTCACTCTAAAGTGATAATTAAGCTCAATCAACCACAGGGATCCCACCCGGTGTCGCTTGAAGTCGGTTTAGTGTGGCTACTCATCTCCCATGATGATTCGTTGGAATGAGAAGAGAAAACGCGAGCAGAATGAGCAGAGTGAACGTGTATGCGGAACAAAGGCTGGCCGAGGCACAGGGAGGTTTGCCCTAAGACAAAAGTAATATTGACAGTAGTCAATGTGTAACGCAAGATGTTAAGTAGGTTAAAGCTCTCTACCAGCAAAGGTGAAGTATTAAACAGTGTGGGGCGAGTGTTGCTTCTTCGAGATTGGGATGGTGAACGGTCTTGCTGCAAGAGATGCTACTCCCGCCAACAAAGAGGGTGTTCCCGGAGAGTACATGCTTTGTTCTCTTGAATGGGAAAACTGCTCCCCTAAATGAGCCGCTATCCCATCAGGGATGGATCCACCTAGCAAGAGATAATAGTCCACCAGCCCCTGATAATTTTCGCCCGTAAGGGATGATATTTCCCAGACTAATTTTCTTCCCTCCTCCGACTGTATGATATTCCTCTAGTTTGAAATGAAGCTCCTAAACTATGAAATGCTGCTCCCATAGGGTGTGATATCATTCTCTAACAAGGGATGCCCCTCACCAAGGATGCAATGTCCCCGTGAATGAGAACGAGATATAGCATCTAGTCCACATGCCAATACTCGGCACAGGGTGACTGAATGCCAAATGCAGCGCACTTACTACTCAAGTAGTCAGACTTCTAACTAATTCTGACACAAAGCAAGGCAAAGTTCAAATTCCCCTCCCCGGGCAAGGATGACGGTCAAATGCCCGTGTGTTGCCTGGGGGGGGGGATGGGGAGAAATTGTTGAAGCTTCCAATTAACTGGCGCCGAACTCGACCTTTCTTCCTACCTCTCCTTTAGCTTTGCAAAGTGATTCTAATTCCGGAGGTTTCCTGTAGAACAGAAGCCTTGGTTCTGTTGCACTGGATACAGCTGTGAGTACATGTAATCAAGAAAAACTTCTTCATCGCAACTCATTATTAACTAGGTCCGTTGTGTTATCAAGGAGCAAGGATTATTAGATAACCAGCAGCGCCCGTGTCAAATATACGTGAATTATACGTGGAGGCGGCGTGGCCGAGTGGTTAGGGTGCTGGGCTTGTAATCCGGTGTTCCGGGTTCAAGTCCTCCACCCTGCCACTCACTGGATTTGTTCTCGGTTGCCCCGAGTTCAACTCCTTGGCTGCACTCTGTAAATAGCCCACTGGTCTGCCTCCTGCCAGTGGGGATTTTCAAGCACTTAGTTAGTTTACATTGTGGCTAAAAAGCTCCTAGGGGGGGGCTTCAATTAACGTATTTGTTATAAATATGAAGCCTTTAAATATGTACCCTGATTGGCTACCCGAGCAGGCAAGATGGGCCTATTTTACCCGCTATGGATTATCCGCTTTAAGCCCGAGCAAGATGCAGAGAAAGCTTTCTTTTCCGGCTCTCGAAAAAAACAAACATTCTTGATTCTTATTAAAGCGAAATATTTTTCCTTTACAATAAATCAAGCTTGCTCGGTCGAGATAGCTGGATATTGGCCTTGTTCTTTTTTGCGTTTTATGGACCTCGATTTCGTCACAGTCCGTAAAAACGACCTCACACGTGGTCAAAAAAGCGTATTTATTGTATGGCTGTCTCACAAGGACTGGGAACTACCGAATTCACGAATTTGATTGGCTGAAATCAATATTGAAAGCGGTCTAGATTTTTCCATCTAGACCGGGTCTTGAAAAAAAGGTACAAAGAATATAAAAAATTGGCATATAAGACACAGCCATATAATAAACATCTTATTAACCGAGCTAGGTCGGTCTGTATGGGAGAATCTTGACCTCGGTCGCTGGTACAGACCTCACTGCGTTCGGTCTGTACTGGCGACCTCGGTCAAGATTCTCCCATACAGACCTCCCGCTCGGTTAATAAGAACTAAATATTAAATTTCAACAAATTCTGCTTCACAGAAATTATCTCTTAAAAAGGATACAGTCCTTCGGTGTAAGTTTTACTATCTCATTGTCTCCGCAATTGCAAGAATTCTTAACTACCACTAACCAAAGGTTCGTTTTCTCAACAGCAGCCGTATACACAAGCCTAAAAAATAAGTAGCATAAAAATCACGTTGACCCGGATAAGAGGGTTCTTTATGTATTAGAGGCAAGAGTATACTTTAGAAAAGTTTCATCCGCTTGGCAATGTTTAACGTATTCACGTTTGAAGCGAAGAAAAATAATTACAAAACGACAACAAAAGATCTAATGTGCATTCTAAACTGAGTTCATCACCGAAAAAATAGATTAAACAAATGACTAATTGAAAAAATTACGACAACAGCAACAACGAGAAAAACTACAAATCAGTACTTGACTGTCTTACCGAGTACAGCTGCCGGGGTCGGAACTTGAACAATCCATGTCTTCCAGAGGAAAAAAGAGGAAAACAGAATGGGAAATTTTAAGATTGGAATATAGAGGACTAATGAAAGAGCGGTGCACGTTTATATAGCGAAACGATACGACTACCCTCAAAGCGAAGGATCGTTAACGAGACAAGTTTAAGATCAAGCCACTAAATTTTTCTCCTCCTAAGGAAGGCAGAGACCTTTACCACTATGGAATATAATTTCCATTTAAGGCTTTTGGTTATTTAGCTGTAAAGCCGCGCTCTATGCCATCTGGAAAATCATCCTAAGTTAATTTATAAAGGCTGATAGTTTCGAAAGAAACTGTTTGGGGCTTCGTCGGCGGGAGTAACGAAATAATTTGGATATATCAACAAAGTTGAAATGGTAAATTAGCCACCGTAACGCCTCTCTCTCTCTCTCTTAACATACACAGAAACAGCTCTAGCCTCCCTACATATTCGCCTCCTTAGTAGCGCTACGGAGCACTGCCTTGCAACAGCTAAAAGTTTTTAAATTCAAGTATACCCAAATACCGGAGGGATAAGAAAAAAAGCCAACAAACGACAAACTCGAACAATTTGAGAATGCGACGGAATTTACGCAAAAATTAGATGTTACGCTTTGCCCTGTTTGTGCTAGCCGATGGCAATAACCTCTCACCTTTGGAGAGGGATTCTGCAGAAACTCCTTTGTAAAACTTGAGTTCTTGCGTACAAGGAATTTTCATCTCCTCCTCTTCTTCCGCCAGGGCTAAAAACAGACAAAATAATGTGGGGAAGTGAGCAACAACTACCTGTACGCGGACTTTCGTATATCCAATGAAAATCCTTGCTACCGCGCTATAGCTCTTTCTCAGAAGAGTATACACCGAACGGCTTTACTAAAACTCACCCATGTTACCACGAGAAAAGAAACTGTACATGTTGAACTGCATCAAAGACCTGAAAAATAATTTGGAGTAAATATTGCTTCCCCAAGCAGGAATAACCCGAGTTTGATCTGTATAAGCAAAGTTTCGACGCAAACTGCCTAACAGGCGAGAAAACTGTCCGAGGCAAAATGTCATTGGTTACAATTTGCGACTGATTACATACATACATACGTTACTTGACCACTCCCCATAGGGGCTTTTCAGGGCCAATTCTTACCCATCCAATCCCATGCGAGGACATCCACTACACAGTAATCTTGTTCATGGGAAATTAACGTCTCCTACCCCTAACCCTGCAGGAGACAGGGCCTACGGTTTATTCGTCCTTATCCGAGAGGACTAGAATATCTATCCATTTTTTGATTATAGAAAGGTAGTTAATTCTCCTCACTTATTTTAAGACCATGAGTATCGGTCCGGCCGGGGCTCGAACCCTCAACCTCCCGCACAACACAATCCGGCGCTCTACCCAATTGAGCTAACCGGGGGGACGACTGAAGGGTAGGTTGAGACTGAAGGGTAGCACTAGAGAAGTTTTCAACTGAGTATCGAAAGTGACCCTGGATTGCTTTACTTCGCTCTGTGATTGGTCCAAAAAACTGGCGCCATTCTCAATCAACCAATCAGATGCAAAACCAAAACCAATCACGACTTGGTCGCACGCGTTTTCCCGTGCTTTAGACAGTTTGTTTGGTTGTATCTTGAGTACTCATTAGCATTAACAGTCAAGAAAACCGATCAACTATCGTTTTCTCACTGTTCCGAACAAATGCATTGCAGCTTACCAAAAAACCGTCTGGGTCCAGAACTGTAAATACGATGACACCGCAAAAAGAGGCTGAAAATGAGAAGGAAAAAAAACGTGACCAAAAGAAAAAAAAGAAACTTCCACTCGGTTAGATGTAACGTATTTGAAAACTGTCAGAAGATATCAAAAGTTTATGGTCTTACATTCAGAAGTGTCCGTGCACTGGATGCGGTATTCTGAGGTTTTTTGCACTCTCCTTGTACGTTGCTAAAATTATATCTGCGACAGACACAAGTCAATCCATTAAAATCATTTCGGTCTGTCATCACACGAGTGATGAACATCGAACAACCAAAAGAAAGCAGTCTCGTTAATCCATTACAAGTATGCTCATAAACAGAAGTCCTGTGACTTATTACCGTGACATATTTTGAGGGAAAAAATCATCAATCGGTTGACTATAATCATTAAATACGGACATAATCGTTTAAATTTTTGGGGGGAGAAAAAAAGACCCAGTAGCCAAAATAGCAGCGCGTTCAAATGACAAGCACTGACTAGATAACTAGGCAGGAAGCATAAAACTCATCTCAAGCATGACGCGTACAGTGTCCCACGAGTGTTCAAATTGAGCTGCAGATAGCCATCACGCTTGACAAGTTGACAGAGTTAACATAAATTTGATTAAAAATCATAAGAAAGTAGCCCAGTTGTTCAAAGGGAGTACGACGCTATCCAAAGGATAAATCGCTATATGTGTTAACACAACATACTGCTCTATCCAAAGGATAGAGATTTATCCATCCTTCGAACGACCAGGGCCTGCTGGACTATAGGAGCTCGACGAGAAACATAGCAGGAAAGCAGATGCGCGCGTGACATCTCGCTCGTGTGCGCCAGCCTAAATCACTCGCGCTCAGTTGAAACAGGCAACCGTCAATGGCCAACAAAACAAGTTAGGTATGGAACGGTTCATGAAACCTTCATGTAAATCTCAAATTCATATCTAATGCACAGTCGAGTTTAAAATACTAAAAGAAAATGTAAAAGCTTACTCTTTAAACCTTTCCTCTTTGAGGAAATACTTCAAAACTGCACCCTCTGGTACGCCAAAGAACTCTCCAACCTTGAGGCAGAGAAAAATAGAGAACAGCAACTGTCTGGTTCAAATTTCCAAAGATCATGTTGGCGACTTTTTCTTTGATTTAAGTAAGAACCAAGTATTCTGGGCTACATGCCAGTAAACACCTGTTTTGTGACATACTTGAGTGTTTTGTGACGAGAGAAAAATGTGGTGTGACAAGAGAGATATTGTTTTGTGAAAAGACAGCAATTGTTACGTGACAAGCAAAGAGCAAAGGTTTGGTCTAATCCACGGCTCGTATACCTCGTCCTTTTGAATTGACGCCAGTATAAAACCATCATCGTCAATCAGTCGACAGGACACCTAAAACGTATGGGAAATGAAAATATCACACTTTGGCCTCGATAGACCGACCAAAATTTTTGCTTTTAAGTGGAATATCACTTACCTCAGGTTCCTGGCAATCCGTCTGTAAAATAACAATGTACGATCAGTCAAGGGAAAAATGAAATAGTTCGTAACAAAAAAACAGCAGAGACATCCGTCCTCCCAAAACATCACTGCTGGATAGTCTTTTCTGTAAATCAAGAAATAGTTACCATACCTGGCTGCCAACAGAGTTATTGAAGATTTCTTGCATTTTTTCCTGATCAAATTGCATTCCAGCCACTAGTGATTTAAGAGTGATTTAAGAAATTGAGTTGTCAGTTTTCTTGGTGGCTAGTGTAGAGTCTCTGTCAGGAGCTCGGTAAGGGACAACGAGCGAAAAAGCGGGGCTACGAAAGACGGCGGGGTTCGAGCAAAGGGGCAAATAAGTGGGAGAGATCTCGTTCTGTGAACGTTTCTCTAACCTCCGCGACTGTCGTTCGCTATTTCGCTCGTCCGCACTTTTTCAGCCTGGAACAGGGTAGAAGTGTGACGCTTAAGGTGTGGCTTTGGCCATGTTTAGTGTGAAGATGGTAGTGAACTAACTGAGCGGTCTTCACAACAGGTATGGATCTGTACATCTCTTCTTGATGTGTAATAGCGTTGAAGAGTAATAAAGTAGATGTAGATGTACACCCTCTTAAACTGAGGTTGGAAATCAACAATGTATTTTAGCAGAACTATCGTTTTCGCCATTCCCTTCTCTAGACAAGCAATTCAGTTTCCCCAAAAATAGTTTGATGCCGCTCTCCTAGACTAGTATAGAGTATTGAAATCTGGTTCAGATATGATATGGACACGGGAAATATGACATCTAAGTCTTAAACCTGTAGTAAGAGGTCCAACAAGAAGTGAAATTTACCATGAACAAAAAGTGAGATTCTCATTACCAGCAGATAGAAGGGGATGTTAAGTACTCATTTACGAGAAATAAGCTTTTTTTTTTGGTATCTTATGCTCACCTGCAGCAACAACCTTTTCCTTCACAATAGCAGAACTTGCGTTGATCACGATCGATTCGTTGCATGTTGGTTGGTTGCCTAGGTAACAACAATCAAAAGGAAAAAGTAGGCAGGCAGTTTTAGACTTTGCATGTGACGAGAGAATACCACCTCTGAAATCAGTTTGGGACTCATGGAATCTGGTTTTCTAGGAGTAACTATATGTACCATGAGTGGTACATACAGTGGAGAACGAATAGACGCCGCATAGGGTGTCCCCGCGGGCAAAAGAACGTCAGATGACTATGGTGATCAAAAATAACTTGAGGGGTATTTACCTTAACAAATATGAGCTATACTAAGGGGGGAGGGGGGAAGGGGGAAGGGAAAGGGGGTAAGGAAGAACAGGAGGAGCGAGGGAACCGGGAAAACGAAAAAATGGAGATACGATGGAACAGAGGAACCGGGAAAACGGGAAAACGGAAGAACGATGGATTGGATTCGGTTGTGAGGCTAGTTCTCCTCTTGAAACATATTGTACCTTTATTTTTTCCTCTGTAGGGAACTGAAAAAACAATAATATTTTCTCCCTTTTGAGCATATTGAGCAGCTTGTCTGTAGAACTGTTCCTTCATATAGTCCCGTGTTGTAAATGGTTCCGCTGAACTTGGGATAATTCAAAGAAAAAAATATGCAATGTATTAGGACACCTCAGAAGAGATAATAGGAATCTAGGCCTTGTACTCTGAGTGAAGTAAGCAATGTTTGAAAACAAAATAATGACAACAATTTGGCTTCCAATGTGCGAACTGTCAGAGGGGTCCTGAGAGATAGAGCGCCACTCCACTCCCCTCCCCACTCTGGAAAAAAGAACAATTTTAAGGGTTCACACTTTTTTCCCACGGTTTCAAGAAAACAGTTCCATACCCCCAAAATTCGAAAACGTTAGTATTAAGCTGCTCTTATCACGGGAAGCTACAATCAGCTGAATTTCTGACATTCAGTTCAGCCTTTGGACAAAATTAAATCCAAATTTAACTTTCCTCATGACCCAGCTAGATGCGCATAAATTTCCGCATTTCAATTTTGAACTTAACTTTTAAAAAAGCACAGACTACAACGAAGCTCCTTTAAGGTCGGCACACACGAGGGGACTAGTCCCTGCGACTAGTCCCAGCGACCAGTTTCTAGTCCCTTCGTGTGAACTACACATTTCTGTGGTCGCAGGGACCAAAATTTGGTCCCTGCGACTGGTCGCA